GATAATTATTGGCATTTTTAATTCGTTTAACTTAGGACGTAACATGGCAATACATGTAGTTTTTTCCGAGGTACCGTGCGTGCGATATTTAATTTTAATTAGTACTTTGAACAAACCATCATAATTTGCCAAATTGCGTGAGGTTTATTGTCGCCAGTGGTAATTAACACGGGGAAATTCTTTTAAAAATCGACCAAACTGGCATAAAAAGTGATATATATATATTTATTTAAGGCATATATAGACAGCAGCCGCGAAAGCTTGAAAGCCGAGACAATATGAAAATAAAATCAATAATTCTTATTCTCCTCTGTCGAATTAAAAAAGATTGGCTGACTATATTGAGACAAGAGTAACTTATATAAATGTAAGTTCGTATATTCTTGCGTTTAGAATAAATTTTCCCTCCGTCTTACAACGCACCAAGTTGGCACCGCGATATTCGACAAAAGACGCTACATACTATCATTTTATTCTAGATTTTAGAATTTTTCATTTAAGATTAGACTATTCCTTTCTCTATAATAAATATGATTGACGCTATATCGATCTCGTTGTAGGATACATTGAAGTGCAATAGCATTGGATCCGGAAATTTTTTCTGTGGGTACATCGCGGATATCGGTCTACAATGAGTAAGTAAATGACAATAAAATAATAAGCCGCTGATAACGCGAGAGTGTCCTACGGAGCTTTTATTATTTGTTGAATTACCCGGGAAAAACGCATAAACGCGAAGCTAGGCGCAACAGGTGTAGCGTCGCCGCGTCACTTTAGGCGCGTGAAGTTGCCGCGCGCCGCGTCCCTCCGCCATCTTAGCCGGCGTTCACGCTCCGCTCGCGTATCGTCCCGGGTATCAAAGGTGCTCGTAATCTCGCGCGGCTCTTTTTCTCCGTTGCCACAACGTGATCGAAGTGTAGTTTCGCGTCGCGCGCGATTAACATCGAGTGCGTTGTGCGAAATGCCGTGTGCTAGTCGCGTTCGAGTGATCGGCGCGCGTAACCAACGTGTTTTCGCCAACAGATTTGCCGGCGACACGAAGAACCGGTAACGGAGTAAGGAAGGAAGGCGCCGGGGAGGCATCGGGTGGCGGCGGCGCAACCGCGAGGTAAGCGTTTCACAATTTATTCCAGACGGAGAGAATTTGCTCTTAAAATTTATCCTGAAAATCGCGTAATCGTGGGACAATCGTGGCATTTTGAAGAATTCTACGAAACTTTACCATACGTTTCTTTTTTTGCTAGTAATTGTACTCACTAGTGAAATGCAGGGTTGGAAAGTAGCTTGTAACGAAGTTACAGTTACAGTCACTTTGTTTTTGGTAACTCTAATCGAAAATTTCGAAAGCTCTCATAAAGATCTTCAAAATGCCATCCCAGATAACAATGCATGTATAAAAGACGTCTTAAAGATATCTTTGAGGCACTTTTTAGACGTGCATGTCTAAAGGACGACTTAATGCCGTCTTAAAGATATCTTTTAGACACGCATGGTATCCGAGATGTTGTCCCATTACACGATTTTCAGGGTAAATTTTGAAAGAAAATCCCCCTCCGTGCATTATTCATCGCTGACGAAAGTAAGCCTCCGTTTGGAAACGCGAACCCATTTTAGAGCGCAAAATCAATTTTCTTCTTATAATTGATCTCGCCAGCTAATCACTTGAAGTAAGCGATCTCTTACGCTCGTCGGAAACTTTAAGATCTTAACTTCCAAACGAGATCACGATTAGTTACCTGCAACGTTTTTGCGCAGAGATATTGGGCGGCTACGTCGACTCGCAATTTCGATCAAGATCTCCAGGGATAAGTGAATTTTCTCGGGGCGAAGTTAATGCACTCTTCGTAATTAATCAACGCTGCCTCGCGAATTAATCGTCCGAGAATAAGCAGGACTTTTTAAAGCGCCAGGGTTTCAGCTTTCAAACGAGTACGAGAACATACGAGAACATACGAGAACACTCTACTTACGCGACAACAATCCGCACTGACTGAACTGTGAATGAACGGATCATTAATTCCGTAAACAACTTCGCATACCATATTAGTGACGCGGCGGTGAGACGGTTGGTTCGCTCGGTATTTGTTTTTGTAACGTACAAAACAAGCCGCGTCGTACCCCGCGCCGCGACCGCGGTAAGGTCGCTGCTCTATCATTCTCGTCCCGGCAGTCGAGCGAGCAGGCGGGATGTGCGTGTCGCTCCGTGTATAATTACTTTTCGAAATACGACGAAATACGAATAGAATATTACGCGTATCGGAAAGACACCGCGTTCTGTATCAACTATCGGATTCGCTGTACGACTTTCGAAATTCATGAGACTCGTCGATGTGTCGAGACACTGGGGCTTGATTCTCGAATTCACTCGCAAGCGATACGTACGCGAAAGTTCTATTCTTTCGGAAAAGTTGCGTGTCGATTCGCTAAAAGCTAGGCGAATAGCCAATCGACTTTCTTGTAAGAAGAGAATTTCCGCATACGTTTCTCCCTCGAATGAATTGAAGAGTCGAGCCCCTGGTTGCTCGTTGTGAAGCGAGTGTCTTGCGCGATTCATATCGAAACGAGGAGAGGATCCGAATTGTAATTAATCGTCCGCGAAGATCGAGATATAATTTAACTAATAGCTTGTCAAGTGGTTGGAAAAACCGGCCCTAAGTGACTTTCGAAATTCATGCGACTCGTCGTGTGAAACGCGAGTGTTGCGCGATTTATCCATGTCGAAACGGGGATTCGAATTGTGAATTAACGTGAATTTTGCCGTGACTTGCTATTCGGACGATGATTATTGCTCGAGAAATGCTCGAAATTCATATACATCCCGCGACGAGTCTCGGTTCATTAATTTGAGAGTAATTTCCTATCGCTTTTAAATGTGCGGTACGATATGCGAATCATTGTATCGTGATTTATATAACGGAGCCGTGAATTATTTTCATGTTTGATCGCGTTTTCGCGAGTGTTGTTTCGCGCGCGCGCATGTGTGTGTGCAACGAGGCAACATTGAAAGTAACATTGGGTCTCGGAGACATATTGTATCGGTGAGTGTGTTTCTCTATTAACTTAAAAGGATCTTTAAGTTAATGGATCTGCGAATATTAAATATAACGTTTCATTTATCTTGAAATGAATGAGCCAGATCAAGTTAGTCTAAATGTTTAATCTTGAAACACGTCACGTCAAGATTTTGCAGACAAAATCTTTAGAAAGTTCAATCAAGGAAAAATATCACGAGGGAAGAATAAATTTAAAATTACTAGAATCAATACATTATTTTTAATATCAATACATTTTGAGTTCAATGTTTCAATAAATACTAAGAAACAGAAAAAAATTTTAATAAAACTGGACGTTTGCTCTGCTTTTCTTTCCCTTCCGTGACAATTACGAAATTCAATGAAGTATCAGTTTTTTAAATAAAATTATTTATTCAAATGTTACAGAAAATAATGACTCAGTGTGTGCCACGTCGAGGAAGTTGAATGGAACTGATGAACTGCCTGAGAGGTGGCGGAGGCCCAGGGGAGGCATCGGGCGCCGACGAAGCAACCTTGCGGTGAGTGTTATTTCTTATTTGTGCAAAATTAGTTTTTCAAGTATTAGTTGTTTAGAGCATTTTAATGTTGCTGTTCTATTTATGTGTTACAGAATCATCGTAGTCAACGTTGCAGATAACTTCGTCGTTGCGCATCGGTGTCGGTGAGTGAGAAAGTAATTACTTAATAAATTTCCTTCTTGAGGCAACGGATCTATGATAATTATATGTATATGTAGGAAACATCTCGATACATTGATATAATATATCAAGTTAGGATAATAAGTTACCATAGAAAATTATTTTGTCTTATAGATCCGTCGTCTTAAAATGGCTGATTTTGGCAAATACTTAATCTTGAAATAATCTTAACGATTTATTGCGCGCAACTTTGCTCGAGAACGTATTTGCACACTTTGCAAACGCAGAGCATACAAAATAGAGCATATCAACGTTTAATCTATTTCTTTATATTTTTGACACATTGATTTCATATTGAATGAAGTTAAGAAATATAACGTGAGATCCAATAAATATTTTGAAGAAGAGAAACAGAGATTATTTTATAATAATGTAACTATATTAGTTGCTCGGGAAAATTATTTGATTTTGCAATAATATATATTACTCATATATTATGTGAGAAGTAATTTGAGTAGCGAATAAAATATATGAAACAATATATGAATACACAAAGAGTTATATATAAAATTCGCTATACATTCGTATATTAAGAACATAATTGTTTGTTAATTACAATATTGCAGTACCAATAGAGCGGCAAGTTTATTTTTTTTTGGATCTCACATTATTTCTGTATATCTCGATTGATATGCGTTCAATCGCATCGCATAAATTACTACAAACACACTCTCTAAAGTTTTTGGAGTGAAAATAGAACCATGGAGTGAAACGTTCACTCTATTGGAGCAAATCTTTACTCTATTAGAATGAATATTTACTCCAATATTTCACTCTATGGTTCTATTTTCACTCCAAAAACTTTAGAGAGCAGATCTTTATGATTTCCGTGGTCCGTTTTTGCGTCGAAAAATTTCCGCTTACTAATTTCTCAACGTTTTATCGCATAAAATCTTTCGGTTAGGTTTTTCTAATCTTAAAATTCTGAATCGAACATAACGTGTATCGCGAAAGACAAATTTAATATTTTCAATCAGTTTTGCGCAATTTTTATGAATTAATATTCCCTTTTAATTTATCTTCAAAGAAAACACTGCCAGTAATTACTGTCACTTTAGAATCCCCTTAAAAAGATTAATTTTTTAATTGCAATTTTGCTGATTCCCTTAAATAACCTTTCTAAGTGTTCGGAAACAAATATTGATTCGTCTATATCGACGATTTGTTTCCTTAAATGTTTTCTTAAACACAATATTATTAAATTCCCCTGAAATGTTAAACGTTTAAAAATTCAACATTTTGTTTTCTTTATCATCTTAAAACTTACCTTTAAATGCCGTATAATCCGTGCAGAAAACTGATTCTGTAAGCAAAAGGAAAGAAGTTGTTAGAAATATTGGAAAGTTATGAAAAATGTGTATACCTAAGTATACATATATACTTATATAATATATATTATTTATACATATTATGTATAAATTATTCATTTGACCGTTCACATAAAATATTTTATTTTACTTAGTTTATAATATCTTGTAATTAATAATGCTGTTTAAATAAAATAAGAAACTCCCGACGCATTTATTTTAAAATATTTATACGCGTAAGATCTTATCTTCTTACGATAAGCACATTCGTAATTTACGAAGGCAAGTAAAATGACAATTTTTTCATCATTTTCCAATCTACATATGTAATATTTTATTCAACTACGGTGCAGAGCATACAAGAAATGCTGTAACATTAAAGATAGGAATAAAGAAAGAGAGAAAGATGTAAGAGGTCCAGATTACACAGTAGCTTTACGTCTGGGTTACGTGTTTTGTCGCGTCGGATCGTAAAAAATGCCAGAAAGCAAGCGGCGCTCTTCTAAGCCGTTGAAGGGCTGAGCTCGTGAATCGAGGGGAGAAAAACTGTTCCGCGATTTGCTGGTAAAACAATGTTCTGCTTTATATCTCCGGGAACGGACCGGGGCGGTCGCGCAGGTTGATTTTCGTGAGTGGGTTCTTCGAGAACATGTCCGACAAATCGCGCGTGAAACGTCGTTTCTGCAGATGAATTACACGTGAACAAGGTTGAACGCGCTGTCGTTGTCAGATGCGATAGTCATAAAATGAATCTTTTCTACGGAAATTTACCGTTTTTCTTATATCTAGAAATTCTTATACATAGAAGTTTATCATTTGTCATTGATGGCAATTTTTTTAAACGAATATTTAATTAAATATTATTTTTGCGATTTTTTTATATATAAAATATAAATTATCTAATAAAGCGTTATAATGAAATTTTAATTAATCGTTGAAATATAATTTATTATTTTAAGTTAATCGGAATTTTTAAGTCTATCAAGGTGTCTGAAACTTTGTTATCAAAAATCCTTTTATTATTAGCGATTTATAATGCTCTTATAATTCAACATTTTATCATCTATTTCTTATCTTTAATAAGTTCTTGCTTTAACGGCAAGAAAAATTCCTTCATAAAAGATGTTCTTTTTCTATATAGCGATTGTAAGCGTTTACGTGTGAAAAGGTGTGCGTAGGAGATTCGGTAAATCAATAAGTTACATAAGAAAAACTCATCAAGTATATGACGTAAACTGTAATTATGAGCAATCATAGCGGCGTTAATGAAAATGTCTTGCACGAGTAATCTGAAATTTCACGACAGTCTTACGCGAAGAGAGAAACTCATTTTGAATCGCTCGCCAGGCGAGGTCTTATAATTGCGTCTCGACAATTCAATCTAAATTAGCAGACGTCATAAACATTCCGAGAATCGTTACTGGCAGCTTGCGTTTGCCGCGAAAATGAGATAAAAACTTTTTCACCGATAAAAAACACGGCTCATAATCTAATAATAATGTAATTGCCATGATATTTCCTTTTGGTAGAATAAATTCTGCCAGGATTATAAAATATTGCTATATTAAAATCAGATACGATACTTCTTAAAAATTACACACACATACCTCGAGTTGAGAGCACAAGGATGCTTTCAGTTAAAGGATTCTGATATGAGAGCTGATATTATCTCTTGCTGGATAAACCAGACTTAAATGAAGTATATTAAATCTATATTTATTTCCGCGGCCGCGTATGACGCAAAAGCACGCATTTCGTTGAAATTATATTTTTGTGCAGAAATTAATTTCAAAAATATAATGTCGTCTGTATAATGACATTATACAAACGTAATGTTATATTAAATATGTTCTTTCTCGTTTATGCAGTTTAAAATATATTTTTAGCACAGCAGTGTGCGCATAATCATACACATCGTAATCCCTGTTCTCCGTTACACGTCTATTCGTACTTCCGCCGTACATGCTCCTGAATGTCATCGATTAATCAACGATAACGTCCAATTAACGCCACACCCTCGTTTCCTCGCCACGGTTTTCTCACATCGATTAGTATAACGGCCCTGCCTATCAAGTTAGCAGAGCGTTAACCTTGCATCTCGCTTAAATTACGCTTTTATTGACACTTTCTCGCTGTTAACGCGGAAAACATGTGACACGCTTGATCGCGCTATTATCAACGAGCGGAGAACTGGCGCCTCTCATCCCCCGAGTATCGCTCTTGGCGCGTAAATGTAAACTCTGGTATTTAATGGTATTTAATGTAGCATGCATAGATGATCTTATCTTAAATTATTACGCGCTTGTTACATCGCCGATCCTAGTCTATCCGGGTAATATTGTTCAATTATCCCGCCGTTATAATACGATTAACTTTAAATCCACTTTTCTTTTTCTCTCAACCGTGATACCGTAAGAATGAACGAATTTACAGTAATTTTCGCTGCTTAAAGGCAGCTACATGGATCTCACACTTTCGAGAGTATCATTTCAATTAACCGATAGTGAGAACTTCATTACATCGTTTGTTATAGACGGATTCTATTATGCTTTTCATACTCGACACGTATATTGAAACAGTGGATGTAAATCAATAAGCTTCGTTTATATACGCGATTACTAGTGCTATTCTCTTTCACACGCGAGCGTAGCGCATCTCTTTGATTAAAAAAAAAAGGAGATCCTAACAATTAACCGATAAACAATAAACGACCAAACTCGATTCTGACACTCGTCGGCGGCGTTTTTTCCATTTCATAGAGGAGAGGGTTAAAAGGCCCTATTGATTTTCTCTCGTGTGGTCACTGTTGCCAAGTTCGTACTGTAAGTTCGCATCGCATCGCGCGGGAGTTTTCCGTCATTGTGTATCGCACGGCTGACCGACATGTATCGCGTAAAAGTGAGATAGACCATAGAGATAGAGAGAGAGAGAGACAGAGAGAGAGAGAGAGAGAGAGTCGGAAAAAGAAGAAGAGGTACAGGGGCTTTCGTGATGGCTGCCGGAAAGAGGGACGGAATCGCACGACATGACAAGGAGATACTTAGGGTGGTAGGTGCGGCATTCGACGTATGTCTCTGCCCGTGGCCGTAATTATGTCCTCGACGACGCGGGACAGGCGTGCTCTATATGGCATGAACCGGTACATAATACGAAAATTTAATGGACCAGAGATTGCTCTCCAATGCGTCCATCGGGCTTATCAGTGATTTCGCAGCGTGCGTGCTTCCGGTCACTCTCCAAGATCCCCTTCGATCTTATGCGCCCCGATCGAGATCCAATCTTGATCACCGAGGTGCCGGCTTGCTTGTACTGTCCGTTTGCACAGTATGTAATTCGAGACGGACCAATCCCGCTGATTGCGGTGATGAACATTCGAGCCGACGCTCGACTGATTGAATTCCGCGATTCCCCCCCTTTAAACCGCATCGAAGAATGCAACGTTCTGAAAATCGTGTCCTGAGAATCTTGCTGTGGGAGAATTTAGAAAATTTGTACGTTTTTGCAGAAGATTCCAGCTTGGAATTGAGCAGATTATGTGCATAATTAAGAATAGATACGTATAATTGTTAATTTTTTAAATAGTCGCCCAAAAACTATTACGTACAATATAATCGGGTATTCTTGTATTTATGAATTTTTTAATTAGACTAATTGGTTCTTCTTGAATACAAATTTCCACGCGGATTAACTTCCGAGCGCATAAGTAAAGACCAAAATTTCATTTTTTCTTAAACTTTTAAGGATATTATTAATATTAACTTAACTTTATTAGAACTTGGCTTTATGAATTAAATATAGAGATATTCTCATAAAAATACAAAGTAAAAATTTGTGCAATGATATGATATTGAATCAAATTTTTATTCTAAAAATATCTTAATTAATTAAAGAATTGTATGTATTTAGAAAGGTAAAGCGGATACCAGGCTTTCTTTAGATAATTTAACTGTTTGTTGAAACTGAAAAATTAGCAAGAAACTACTAAATTTTATTTGAAGAACAATTACTGAATAAACATTTAGACTCCGAGTGACACAGTCTCTGGAAACTTTGGTGGAGAAAAAATGTAAAGCAGGAAGTCATGTCGAGTTTCTTTTTTCTCGCAAAAAAAAGCAACCGAGAATCGATACATCAATCTTACATTACGATATATTTTTTTATTTACGAATTAGGACTTTCTTCACGTATGCAAAGAATGCCACGAAAGATTATCGATACAGGCCTCTTACAGGAAAAAGCGTATAACGTCGACCTATAGAAATTTCAATATTCGTCCATTCACTAAAAGTATAGAAACTTCGTAATTACAAGTCGGTCGCACGTTTCCATATACATATGTGAGATTAAATTGAAAAGATTTCCAGGAACTGTGAAAATATATAGCAATGCTTTGTATTACGTATGAAAATCTTTAATTTAATTAATGATCAATAATTTTGATATTAGTAACCGTTTATATCCAACGCTATAAATAATATTAATATCGACAATACTATAATATTATCAATTAATAATTATCTAAGTATTTCTTATTACCGGAGCTATTAAGAGTATTAAGAGATAAAAATGCTTTTTAAAATCGGCAAAAGTAAACGGCAGCACAAAAATTAATGAATAATTCCCCACATGGTACTTGAACTTTGACTTTTTCACATGAAATGTTTGCTAAATGTCAATGAGCAGTACGTTTTGATGTCTACTTCTGAAAATCTCATGAATCTTTATACAAAAAATTTACCAGATTAATTTATGTTTTATTTCTTTCTCCTGTACTTTTTCGCGATAATTAGTAAATATAGTATATTTCGTAATACCGTAATTTGAAACTTGTTTGTGATATATTGGAGGAGAAAATTGTTGAACTTATTACACTCATTACTTTTTTTTCAACTTGTGTAATGCTGTTGTATCACTTACCGAGGTTATATTTTGATAGATAGATTATCCTTTCGTTTATTTTCGGTATCACGAATAACTCTCATTTATGATACTCATT